TCACTGAGTTACGCAAGCCCCTTCGCCACGACAAGGCAGTGATCCATGAAGGGGGTGCAAAGTTGGCAAAAGTAATTATTTTGTTAGACTTAGTAATGCAATTATCAGATCTGAAAATCACATCATTATTTGAATAGGATTTGGTGTTTTTTAGTGTTGAGCAAGATTTAAATTTCAAACATTCTCATTTTCTCTAGATTTTTAAACTCAAGAAAGGGAAAAAAGGTCAAGTGGGAACAAGAAACAAATTAAAAAAATATGCCTGATAGAAAAATAATGGGTGTGTATGGGGGTCCTGAAACATCTTTGCTTTTCTGCCTTTTTTTTCAACATCTAAGATATATAAAAATAATGCACCATGTGAAAGCTTTCTCAATGCATTTTAATGTTTGAATTGATATATAGTCCTAATAATTATAGCACTCTTATTTCTGAGTTGCGTAGTAATAGAACAACACATGTTCCATTCTAGTAATTCTCAAACTGCATAGGTTTCAAAGTTAATACAGTGGCACATGTATCATGATTATTGGGCTTTAAATTTCTTGTTTTTCTTTACTGGTCTGAAAAATTCTATGAATTAATCATACTCTGTGGATAGATTTTTGCTAAACCAAGCTATATTGGAAAGTGTTATGGATTTAAAGGGTTATCTTGCCTTTCATCTGAAAAAAATTCCACCATAAAAACAGTCCCTGCATAGAGAATTAAAACTATAAAGCAGTGTAGAAAAAAAATTAAATCTTAAAATTAATTAATTAAATCTGAAATTTAATCTTTAAATTATTTTCTGAGGCTAAAACGTCTGTCTCTCTTTTTACTAACATACAATTGTATTACAGGTTAAAGCAGGCAAAAATAGTATCAAAAGATTAAAGTTAGCATAGAATTCACATAAATAATACATTTTTGCATCAAGAATATACAGTGGTACCTCGGGTTACGAACGCCTCTGTTAACGAACTTTTCGAGTTACGACCAGCTCCGCCCGCAAAAATTTACCTTGGTTTGCGAACTCCTCGGGGTACGAACAGGATACGCGGCCATTTTCCCTCCTGTGACACAGTCCGTGGCCATTTTCCTGCCCCTGACACGTGGTCTGCGGCCATTTTTCCACCCCTGACACGTCCGCGGCCATTTTCCGCCCCTGACATGTGGTCCGCGGCCATTTTCCGCCCCTGACACGCCACTGTATTTTGGTACCAAAGCAAGTAAGGAGGAAGTTCAGCATTCATTTCATTTTATATTTTCCCTAATCCATTTTTTAAATCATTCATATACATTTCTGATAGCATAATTTTCCCTTCCAAATTTTAAAATCATTTGTCAAATGTCTACTGTATTCCTGAAGTAGATTTATATCAATAAAATTACAAATATCTGGAATACCTGTGGGGTATTTTCTTTAACAACTTTATGCAACTTTTTGGAAATCTTAGAATCATGTACAGTGGTACCTCGGGATACGAACTTAATCCGTTCCGTGACTCTGGGCGTATCCCG